GAGTTCTTATAAAACGATCTCTCGAGTTTTATAAAACGATCTCTCGAGTTTTATAAAACGATGATCTCTCGAGTTTTATAAAACGATCTTCGAGTTTTTATAAAACGATGATCTCTCGAGATTCATAAAACTGCTGCGTTTACGCGTTTGCGGGGAATTTTGGCTATTGATTCCGTCGTACCGATTTTGACCCCAACAAAAAGTTCTGATTTTGTTTCTTACCCTCTGTCTAATGATCTAAAACTTTTTAATACAGTCTGATGTAATCAAAGGTATCTACTTGCAACATCTTTCTCATAGGTGTTTTGATGATTTTAGCATTTAGTTGCTTAGTTTTTTGTTTGAACTTGGTCAATAGCATCTTTTCTGCATTCATAAGAAAGCTATGACCATATGATGAAGAGAAAATGAATTTGGAGTTTGAGATTTGAATGATAAGTGTCTGCATTCATCTTAGTATTAAGGACCACTCATACACTGTCACACTTATTTGCAACGTCTTCATCAAGCTATCAGTAGGAGAAGAATTACAAAGGAGGAAAAGTCTAAAGTTTGGCAGTATAATCTAGGATGCTGCAAAGGATTTTTCTGATGTTGTTTTCTTTCTTCTCTTAACATGTTACCCATATAATTTCGTTCCTATGAAGAGTATCGTATGATTATAAGTGATAACATTTACTTGGGATAAATATTTTTTTCCTTCGTCAGTTTATAATATTTGTAAAGTTATAACGTTCCGCTTCTACTAATTACCAACTACGAATCAACGAAAAATGTTAAGAGAAAGGAGAAGTGTTGTAGATTTCAAGCACTTTTTTTGTCATGAAGAACAACCTTAATAGAACTCATAGTTGTTACACAAACCCAAATTTAGTAGCCAATATCTACAAAGCTAAACAATTAAATCTGGTAATATAAAAAGGTAAGACCTCCACAATTGTCTTAATCAAATAATATATAATACATGTTAAATTTTTATAAGATATTACTCAAAATCTTACTTGAAAGAAACAAAATATAATGATAGAAAAAGGGTTGGCTGCATATTCCCCCCTCTAAATACACTAACCCTACTTATTCCCCCCCCAAACTATCAAGCGCTTTATAATCTCACCCATTCATATTATTTCTCTTTAAATATCGCTCTAAACTTTTTTAATCCCCCTTTCAAATTAATTTCTAAATCGTGATTAGAGAAATTAAAAAGTGCGTTTAGAAAACTGATTCCCCAATTAAATAAAACAAATCCGACCCATATTTTTTTTTAAACCCAAAGATTTAGGAGACTCTAACGCAGCAGCGAACCCACCAAGACCAGCATTCATATCCATCACGTTACGGTACCTAGTTAAACCAATCAAACTATTGATACTCTTGTACCTTGCCACACGCTTCTTCCACAGTTTAATATCTTCTTGGTACGCTTCCGCATCAACTCCACTAACCAAACCTTTAGACACACTCGGAGGCACTGCCAATAGCCTCTCAGGGAACTTCTTCAGCTTCCCTCCAGCGACTTCTTCTTCACTTGATACTTTAGGGAACGGTGTTACACAAGTTTCAATCTCCTTGTACCAGACATCATCAGTGTCTTTTCTTTTACATGTGTTAACCGGTGTTGNGATCTATCGCATGACCTATCATTTATCTTCTTTCTGAAAATGGCAGTGTCTCCCTTCTCGTACTTCTTCTCCCAGCATAAAGACTCTGCGATGTCTTCTATTCTCTTTTGCTCGGCTCTGAGGTCTGCTTTAGTACGGTTCCACGTCTTGTAATAGGTTTTCCAGTTGATGGGAGGTCCTGAAAAGACCCAGTAACCTCTTGGTCTCAAGACTCTGTCAACCTCCATTAAGTAGGTTCCCTCTGAAGAAGCAATCAAGATCCAAAGACGACATATTAAATTTTTAACATTACGTTTTAAGAAAAAGTAGTTGATGTAAAACATAATCCAATTTATGAAACAGAGGGAGCATTAAACTGTGAATATGTTAATGTTTTGTTGGTTGATAGTTACCATTTGCAGTCCATGGGATCAAGCATCTAGAGCACTGAGCCATATCAAAGGCTCTTGGAGGATAAGGAAGAATAATAGATCCAAGAACAGCTATAATAGCTGGAACACCTCTCTCAAGCTTGAGTAGGTTGAGTTTTTTTGCTTGTGTCGTCGTTTTGTGTTGGGAAGAAGACGGGAAAAAACTAAGCTCCAGTTAGATTCTAATTTTAATTAGAATTAAATCCTAATTAGATTAGGTCGGATTTTTTTAAAAACAAATATGGGTCGGATCGGTTTTATTTAATTGGGGAATCAATTTTCTAAACGCTCTTTTTAATTTCTCTAATCACGATTTGGAAATTAATTTGAAAGGGAGATTAAAAAAGTTTAGGGGGATATTTAAAGAGAAAGAATATGAATGGGTGGGATTATAAAGAGCTTGATAGTTTGGGGGGAATAAGTAGGGTTAGTGTATTTAGAGGAGGAATATGCAGCCAACCCTAGAAAAAATTAAACTAATATACTAAAACAAATAACAAACTAAATAAAAAATCACGACATCATAAAATACTTTACCACTTAAATTATTTTTTGGTCCCTTTAAGTCCTATTATTTATGTCTCAAAACATTGAATTGAGTCTATATATTAATATTATTCATATGATATTCAACTAGCCATTGAACAATAGATTTGATTCATCCGCCAGTCTTTTTTTTTCTAAGTTCATACATGGTCAATAATTTATCCTATTTTAAAAAAAACTAGATTTTGACCCGCGCTTAAAAGCGCGGAAATTTTTTATGATTAAAAATTTAGATAATTGGGGTTTTATCTTAATTTAAAGAATGTTTTGGTATAAAATCAGTTCACCAAAATTTGTGGTGATAATTATTTTTCATTAGTTTTTAGTTTCAATTTTTATTTTTAGATTTTATTTTAGATTTTGATTTTTTTGGGTTTTAATTTTTAAGTTTCTATTTTTGATTTCAGCTTTTGTTTTGAGTTTTTAATTTTTAGATCCGCTGAGTTAGTTTGAAAAGATATTACCCAAATTTTTTATGATTAAAAATTTATATAATTGGGGTTTTGTCTTAATTTAAAGAATGTTTTGGTATTAAATCAGTTCACCAAAATTTGTGGTGATGATTGTTTTTCATTAGTTTTAGTTTCAATTTTTATTTTTAGATTTTGATTTTTTGGGTTTTAATTTTTAAGTTTCTATTTTTGATTTCAGCTTTTGGTTTGATTTTTTAATTTTTAGATCCGCTGAGTTAGTTTGAACTGATATTACCAACAAACAAATCTCAATTAATCGAACATGTAATTTAAAACTGAAAAGATGACAAAATAATTTTCTAAAATTTTTGAAATAGTTTATTTTTTAATAAAAAATGCAAAAAATATAATTCAAGCGCAGAATTTTTTTATGATTAAAAATTTATGTAATTGGGTTTTATCTTAATTTAAAGAATGTTTTGGGATAAAATCAGTTCACAAAAATTTGTGGTGATTGTTGTTTTTCATAAATTTTTAGTTTCAGTTTTTATTTTTAGATTTTGTTTTAAATTTTGGTTTTTGGTTTTTAGTTTTTAGGTTTCTATTTTTGATTTTCAGCTTTTGATTTGGGTTTTTAATTTTTAGACATGCTAAGTTAGTTTGAACTTATATTACCAACAAACAAATCTCAATTAATCGAACATGTAATTTAAAACTGAAAAGATGACAAAATAATTTTCTAAAAATTTTGAAATAGTTTATTTTGTAATAAAAAAACAAAAAATATAACCTGCATTTTCAGCTTTTGGTTTTGGATTTTAGTTTTTAGATTTGGTTTTGGTTTTGCTTTACATTTTTCTAAAAGTGCATTTAGAAAACTGATTCCCCAATTGAATAAAACAGATCCGACCCATATTTCTTTTTAAACCCAAAGATTTAGGAGACTCTAACGCAGCAGCGAACCCACCAAGACCAGCATTCATATCCATCACGTTACGGTACCTAGTCAAACCAATCAAACTATTCATACTCTTGTACCTTTCCATACGCTTCTTCCACAGTTTAATATCTTCTTGGTATGCTTCCGCATCAACTCCACTAACCAAACCTTTAGACACACTCGGAGGCACTGCCAATAGCCTCTCAGGGAACTTCTTCAGCTTCCCTCCAGCGACTTCTTCTTCACTTGATACTTTAGGGAACGGTGTTACACAAGTTTCAATCTCCTTGTACCAGACATCATCAGTGTCTTTTCTTTTACATGTGTTAACCGGTGTTGNGATCTATCGCATGACCTATCATTTATCTTCTTTCTGAAAATGGCAGTGTCTCCCTTCTCGTACTTCTTCTCCCAGCATAAAGACTCTGCGATGTCTTCTATTCTCTTTTGCTCGGCTCTGAGGTCTGCTTTAGTACGGTTCCACGTCTTGTAATAGGTTTTCCAGTTGATGGGAGGTCCTGAAAAGACCCAGTAACCTCCTGGTCTCAAGACTCTGTCAACCTCCATTAAGTAGGTTCCCTCTGAAGAAGCAATCAAGATGCAAAGACGACATATTAAATTTTTAACATTACGTTTTAAGAAAAAGTAGTTGATGTAAAACATAATCCAATTTATGAAACAGAGGGAGCATTAAATTGTGAATATGTTAATGTTTTGTTGGTTGATAGTTACCGTTTGCTGTCCATGGGATCAAGCATCTAGAGCACTGAGCCATATCAAAGGCTCTTGGAGGATAAGGAAGAAGAATAGATCTAAGAACAGCTATAATAGCTGGAACACCTCTCTCAAGCTTGAGTAGGTTGAGTATGTTTGCTTGTGTCGTCGTTTTGTGTTGGGAAGAAGACGGGAAAAAACTAAGCTCCAATTAGATTCTAATTTTATGATTAAAAATTTATGTAATTGGGTTTTATCTTAATTTAAAGAATGTTTTGGGATAAAATCAGTTCACCAAAATTTGTGGTGATAGTTTTTTTCATTAATTTTTAGTTTTAGTTTTTATTTTTAGATTTTGTAATAAATTTTGGTTTTCGGTTTTTAGTTTTTAGGTTTCTATTTTTGATTTTCAGCTTTTGTTTTGGGTTTTTAATTTTTAGACATGCTAAGTTAGTTTGAACTTATATTACCAACAAACAAATCTCAATTAATTGAACATGTAATTTAAAACTGAAAAGATGACAAAATAATTTTCTAAAATTTTTGAAATAGTTTATTTTGTAATAAAGAAAGCAAAAAATATAACCTGCATTTTCAGCTTTTGGTTTTGGATTTTAGTTTTTAGATTTGGTTTTTTGGTTTTGCTTTACATTTTTTTAAATCTGTAAATTATTTAAGAAAAATAAAACAATAAATTATTTAAAAGTTACCATTAAAATTTATCAAGATAGAGTGATTGTTATTTAAAATAAAAAATATTAACATGTTTTAAAGTACATGATTTAAATAAGTGATTAATAATAGATAATTTTATTTTGTTGAAAATATTAAATATTTTTGGGCTAAAAATATTAACATAAAATATTAGCATGTTTTAAAGTACATGATTTAAATAAGTGATTAATAATAGATAATTTTGTTTTGTTGAAAATATTAAATATTTTTGGGCCTAAAATTAGTAATTGATTTTTGATCCATTAAGGTGGAAAGTTTATTTAATGTTTTTTGGAGTTTTTATTTAATACTAAGCCCAAAAACCAAACAATTAAATGTCATAAAAACAAAAGTAAGCCCAAAACTCTATTTCATAAATAACCGCCGGTTTAATTTAAGTAATGCGGTTCAATCAACTATATCCCTTTATTATTAAAAGACAAGCAAATAAAAAGAGAAACCTTCAAATGGTAGTATATTTACATGTGTGCCATTATGGTGATGTGGCAGATAAATAGAGCTTCTCATACTGATTTTGAAAACAGCCACACCCACCTTAGGAATTTACTATTACTGCCACTGGACGGACATTCCACATTTAATTGTCGATTCCATTAATATATAAGGTATATAACAAAGTTTTCTGGTAAATGATTTAGTTGTTTTGTTACAGTCATCATTTCAATAGATTGTATTCACATGTCTTCTTTGAGGTCTTTAGTACACGTTTCTTTATTTATCCAACAATTTTCACAATTTCAAACAATAAAAAGACAAGACAAATAGAATACTTCATTACTCATTAGGTATTTGTACGTACAACAATAACAAAGATTTTATTATAAATATTATATATTACAGCTGATCAAAAAAAATTATATATTATATTTAATATATTAACGTGACCTTATGGGTTAACTCTTTATATTTATACAATGTTTTGGCACTATAATTTATCTAGCCACACTATAGGCTAATACATATAATTATGTCGATCTTTATGTCCTATGTAGTTTAGGAAATCAAATATATAGTATTTAACTAATGAAATACTTTGTGTGCATAGCAATCCCTTATATATGGCAATCATAACTATAGTTTTTGGAAAGTTTTCACGAGCATATCAATTACAATCAAAGCAATATACTTAAAAAAGGCTAATATCAATGTGTTCTGTGTTTATGGCTATGTTCATATTTAGTGTGATTGACAAGATATATCAATGTATTAATTCCAGAAATATTTGAAAAAAATTCTTGATATTCTTCTTATATTCTATATAAGAGAGGGTGGAATGACCGGCGTACACATTCGTTATAACAAACATGGTTGTTTAGGAGTGTGTTTTTTTTAGTTCTGTATTCTTTATTCCTTTTAATTTGTGATTCTTCATATATGTTTTGTATTATATTTACATTTTAATTTGTGATTCATTATATTATGTCTTCTTACAATAAATCTCCTTATAAATCCACTTTTCTGTATTCAGAATTTCAGTCACCGTATATTGAAGACATAAAATCAGGTTTGAAGAAACATACATGCTTTCCTAATCCAGAGGTTTGCAATATCATTTTCAGAGTTTATGTGTTATGGATTTTTTATATGATTGGGAAATCAACAGAAACAAGCTGAAACTGAAGATGAGCCACAAAGGAAGAAGTATCGTATGAGTAAGAATCATATAAGATTTAACTTAAAGTGAGCTGATTGAATTAATAAAAAAAAAGAACCTAGACCTCATTTTGCTAAGGTCAAAGTGTTCGATATTGAATATGAGAAATTCTTTTTTGTTTTATTGCCGACAAATGAGTTGTAAATAGAGTTGGGTCACTAATTTATTTTAATTTGCTATAGCTAATAATTTGTTCTTCATATCAAGAACCCATCAACTCTTCTGGAAACTAAATTTTCCACAAGCCATGGTTCATATCCCAAAAATTTGCATATAAATATAACAATTTAAGTCTTAAAAAATGTATTATATGCTTATGACTGAGCTTCACATACTATAAATAATTTTTGAAGAAAAAAATTTCATTATTTTGAATAGAAAGTATCTTAGATAGTCAAGAACAACAAAGAAACCAGAGCTCAAACAATGCACATAGTATACATGTTGTTAGTTAATGTATTCTTCAAACTATGCACAAAAATGATGATTGAAGCTCAGTCATAAGCATATAAACCGAATCTTTTACCCTGCGCAAGGCGCGGGTCTTTACCTAGTAACTTGTATTATTTATAACACTCTAGAAAGGGTCCAAATTTAAATGACAACTTGTATTAGTAGATAAAAATAATGACTTTATTTTAATAGAATATAGATAATTAGAATGACAAGAGATTTGAGATCAAACAGTACTGTTAACCAGTGCTACAAAGCCTTTTGTCTTATGCTCACGAGAAAAATACACTTAACGGTTTACTAGACAGAGAAACTACCAATCAGTCTCTACATTAGGGGTGGGCACTTTATCCGATACCCGAACTCGTACCCGAACCCGACCCGAAATATCCGAACCGAAGTAGCAAAATACCCGAACGGGTATTAAGTTAGGAGAGTTTGGATATCTGAACCCGAACGGGTAATACCCGAACCAGAACGGGTATCCGAAGATAACCGAACATATGTATATATACCTATTTATTCCTAGTTTATTTTGTCTCATTTTATTAAAACTATTTATATTAATGTTATATATAGTTTCATATCAGATAATATACATATAATTGTAAAAAAATTGATTTGTTACTCATTTAAAATGCATGTTAAGCTTCTTATTTCATACTTTAAACAAAATTTGCATCCAAAATTCGAAAATAATAACCAAAATAATGATTTTTGTTTTCAATAATTTATTTTCAAACTTATTAATCGTCTAACTTATTAAACATTTAAAAAACAGTTAAGTTAATAGTTAAATTTTAAATACATGAAACTTAAGTAATTAAGAATTTAAATTTTTTTTTTCAAAATCTAAATATCCGAACTCGACCCGAAATAACCGAACCCGAACTAAAAATATCCGAACCCGACCCGATAAGTAAAAATACCCGAACGGGTTCTAAACTCCAATACTAAAATACCCGAAAATCTAAAATACCCGATCCGAACCCGAACGGGTACCCGAACGCCCACCCCTACTCTACATACATGAAATTTGGCATGTGTATATTACCCGTAACAAAAGAATCGAACCATACCAAATAAAAACAGAACCGAAACCAAATCAAATTTCTTAAATATATGCATGGATTCTATAATCTGAAAACCAGAAAGTCATAAACAAACCAGAACCAAACAAAAATCAATAAGTACCCTAATATGAATTAGAATTTATACATCTAAAATATTAATTATATTAGGTTTCCAATAACACATATAATAAACTTAATATTTATAAACTGGATTATCCAAAAAATAATGATACAAATATGTTTTTACCTAAAATATTTTAAATCATATAAAATATCTGATAATTTAACCAAAAAATCAGATCACCTGTTTTTTTCTGGAAAAAAAACACTTTATCCATAAAATTTATTCAAATTAACCACAATTATCTAAAAACCCTGTAACCAAAAAGAACATGGGTTTGATTTTGATATTAGGTGGTTCTCCACTTTATTATCAAAACTGAACTCAAAACCAAAATAATTGAATAAAAACTGAATCAAATTTACAAATAACCAACCATATGTTATATTTTTAGAATAAAAAAACAGAAATTCAAATTAACTAAATCCAACCAAAAATTGAAATGCAGAGGACTACATGAAACCTTCTTACCTTAAAGGCCACTTTGACGAAAAATTCAATACACATTTTTTTAATACAAATCTGATTAACAAATAAAGTTTTACATTTTATATTAGCTTGATCTAAAAGCTTCTTTTTTTTTTTTGACAATGCCCAAACATTTCAATAATAAGTCAGTTGTCACCAACTTTGAAACTTTTACACCAAATAAGTTCATAAGAAAAGAGCGACAACAGAAAATAATAATATTTTTAATAAATAATTATAAAGATAACATTCATACATAACTAAAATAAAATCATTTGAACTAAAACTAAATGTCAAAGAAAAATATAATACAACAAAATTTTGTGCGAAGTACGGCCTTGCCCTCGTTTCATATATAGAATTTTACAAATTCTAAAATAAAGTGTTTTTTGAGATGCTTTAACACTCACACACCCAACTTTCCAAACATTCTTCAACACTACAAGCATTCACTTCGACAAAAGTACATCAAATCAAATTCGAAAAGGCAGGGTATCAAATGTATAAACCCAATCTATCCAATTGAAAGAACCAAACTCAAATAGTCTAGAAAGAAAATCGAAACGTAATACTATACCTTTTTGAATAAAGCACTCCAGCACTGAACGATTCTCTTACGTCCTGCCCAACCAAAATTCATTTGGTTAATGCGTGGCTTGACAAAAGCCTCATATATCGTGTTTTTTTTTTTAATATTCTATTTTGTTGTCTTCTCTTATTAACCAAAGTATTTTTTAAAAAAAATTCGATATGTTTTTTATCCAAAGGCTACGATTGGCTGAAAAACTCCGAAATTCCTTCAACATTTTTTAAAACATATCGTCTGATAACAAAGTCAGAATATTTACACGTCACCTCAGATTTTTTCCCATTTATAATTTCTCTACAAAAACAGAGTATCATCTCTTTAGGGATACAGTTTTGTTGTGCGTCCCTCTTGACGATTTTGCAGATTCTCAAAATTCTGCATTCACCTCTCTAATGTATCCCTCAAACGAAGACGACGACGATTTTCTCGCTGCCCTTTGCTTCGATCAAAGGTTCCTCTTTTTCTTTTCATATTCAATATTGATTGTTCAGTTGTGATGTGTTCTTAAAAGTTTTTTCCGATGACGAATGTTTTTCTTGTGTATGATGAACATGTGGTTGTTTCTGTTGTTGTCTTCTCTTGATTCTGCAGCAATGGAGGCGAAGAACCTTTCGCATTTATACAGACAGAACAGGATACACTCTTTCCGGATTTCGGGTCAGCTGGTATAAATCTGCAGCCAGAGCAAGAACAAGTATGTAATAACAACGACATTGGAGTTCAGTTTGATTCTTTTAGTGGAAACCTTCCTCAAGTCTGCAGCTTTACTGGGGGAAACAATGGTTTAGGCCCTTTTGGTGGAGTTGTCTATAGTAGCAGTATTGGGTCATCACAATTGAATTTGCAGCAAGAGCCACATCAAGTCTGTAGCTTTAGAGGGAGAAACAACGATTCAGGGCTTCATCTGGAGAAGGAACAGGAACAAATGTGCCGCGGTGTAGTGGAGATCAATTCTTCATCATCTGTTGGAGGTGTTAAGGAAGAGTTGGAGGAAGAATGCTCAAGAAAGAGGTAAATAAGCTTTACGAATACAAATCCTCTGCTTTTGTTTGCTTAGATTGAGATTGATTGGTTTTATATATAGGGAAATGTTTAGTATCATCCATTGTCTGAATGTGATTATTTATGAAACAGGGGACGAACTGGATCATGTAGCAAGAAGCCAGGAACCAAAGCATGTCGTGAGAAAAAGAGAAGAGAAATGCTAAATGACAAGTATGTTTCTGAGTTTTGTGTGTTCTGCAGTCTCTGATGAAAATTAACTTGGGGGGTCTTCTTTCAGGTTCATGGATTTGAGCTCTTTTCTGGAACCTACAAGAACTCCAAAGACGGATAAACCAGCTATACTAGATGATGCAATCAGAGCAGTAAACCAGCTCAGAGGTGAAGCTAATGAGCTTAAAGAAACCAACCAGAAGCTTCTAGAAGAGATCAAGACTCTCAAGGTTGGTTTCTCACTTTTTTCCTAAAGACCTTATGCTAATGAAACTATGATGAGAGACTTATTTGATTAACTGTTTGGAATAGGCGGAGAAGAATGAGCTAAGGGAAGAGAAGCTGGTGCTGAAGGCTGATAAAGAGAAGATGGAGCAACAGTTGAAATCTATGGCGGCAGTTCCATCACCTGCAGGTTTCATACCTTCACATCCAGCAGCTTTCCATCAAAACAAAATGGCCGCGGTTTACGCGAATTATGGTTACTATCCAAACATGCCAATGATGCCATACTTACTACCACCTTCGCAGCGTGATACTTCTCAAGATCAGCAAAACTGCTCTTTTGCTGCTTAATCTTCCTTCTCTGTTTTTTTTTGGTATCATACTTTCAGAATCACTTTGAAATTTTGGTTTCATGCAGATGATTATTTGTTATTAGTTTCTCAGTAACCTATTGAGGGGGATAGAGAATGTTATGATTCTTCCAAGTGTTAAAGCTAATTCTTAGGTTCTATTTTTGAATAAAATGTCTGAGAAACTTTTTTTGTACAATTATTATTGATGATTGGTCAAGTATTACAAAATGAAACAAGCTCTGTTCCAAGTGAGCTCTTTTATATACGAAAAGTTATTAGCATCGATGGTGTACCATAAACCCTAAATTATTCAACCATTATTTATCTTCTGCCTGAAACACACCAAAACCCTAAGTTACTAGCCCAAGTCCCGGCGAGGAAGTGCCCACGTCTTTTACTTAAGAGGCTGATGCTCTTAAGAGAAGCTCTTCCCCAAACGACTATGAGAGATTCACTTTAGACGTGTCTTTTACGTGGACTCGGTCATTTGTTTTGAAGGAAATATAAAATAGATAAATAAATAAATATTAATTTTTGTCAAACAATTAGGAGCAATCTTGGGAACGCAAACCAATGTTAAAAAAGGAAATTTGAAGATAATTAAAATCTGTATATATAAGACTGGGAAGGGCAAACGTAAAAGTAAAAAAAAAAAAAACCCAGATAAACCAGCCACCTCTCGCTTTCTTAAAACACCTTAGAGATGACAGGAGAAAATTTGACCAAAAAAAAAGATGACAGGAGAAGCTTTAAGATTGCTTCCTCTACCATGATATCTGGAAGATGAAATACTTTCTGGAGTTCCGGCTCCATCTTTGTGTCGGTTAGGTTTTAGTTGCAAGCGATGGAATGCTTTACTCAAAGATCAGGAGTTCATCAAGAAGCACTTGGATAAAGCACCAAAGCAGTTTATGGCTCTCATGTTGTATAATTCAAGGGTTTATTCGATGAGGGTGAATCTCAACGGGATTCACGACAACAACGTTGTTGATCCACAAAAGGTGCTGAGCCCTAGAGTTTTCAATAATCCGGAAGAAGTCATGATAATTAAAATATTTCACTGCGAGGGGTTATTGTTATGCACCACCTTGGACAATAGAATCGTGGTTTGGAACCCTTGTACTGGCCAGATCAGGTGGATCCAGTACAGTGATCGTTACAATACTAACTCCCAGTTTGTTCTTAGATACGATAATAACAAAACCTATAAGATCTCCAGGTACAGCTGCGATAGGCCACATATGCATGACCCAAACATTCGAGTTGTTAAGTATGGAATCTATGATTTTGTGTCTCATTCGTGGAAGTGACTTGATAACGTCACTCCCAAATACAGCTACTACATAGAATCAGAGGGCGTATCATTAAAGGAGAGTATTTATTGGATCGCTGTCGATAGAGATGTACAACAAGTCTTACTGAGTTTTGATTTTTCAACAGAGAGATTTGGAGAGATTAGTACTCTTTTTTCGAATATGGGTGTTTATTCTGGTCTTACAGGGATCTCAGTTGTTAGAGAACAAAGTCTGGCAGTATTATGTAGCACCTTTTATCCACGAAAGATTGAGATATGGATGACGACAGATGATAAGATTGTGTCGTGGACCAAGTTTTTATCAGTGGATTTATCTATGAGTATTCCTCGTAAGCGTTTTTTAAGTGACACAAGTTTCTTCATCGACGAGGAGAAGAAAGAGGCTGTGTTTTGCGATCCTGAATATAAGTTTAAATGGGGCATGGTATACATTGTTGGAGAGGACAATCGATTCTTGAAAATCCCTGTAGGAGAACATATAGACCGGTTATGGAGGCCACATATTTACAATTATGTTCCTAGCCTGGTTCAAATCCAACAGGGTAGTGTTAAGACAAAAAGGACGCAAAAGAAAACGACATTAGTCTTTTATATTCACTGTCTTTCTTTTTGTAGAGAATGTCGTTTGATTAAATTCACGAGCTGGTCTTATATTATATTTTATCTACATCTGTTCACTACAAGGGAAGGGGGTAAAGATAGCATAATAAGCTAGCGTTCTAGTCTATAATGCTATCGTTGACTTAGCCCTTTTTTTAAGACAGCGTTTTTTAATACGCACGCTATATTATAGTTTTCGAAGTCCAAGTTGTGTAACGGTTTTTTAGATAAGCGTATTTTATATAGCTTTTTTAATCTTGAAACGATATGTATGGTTTAGGCGGAAAATTATTTCATTTTCCCGGTTAAAGTACTTAGACAATTTCATCGTTTTCATCGTCTTTGTCTCTTCCCTTCCCTCTCTCCCACTCTCGAGTTTCCCTCTCAGTCCTTTTTCACTTCTCTCTTTGTGTCTGGAAAATCTCTATCACTCAATTGAATTCTCTCATCTCATCTCGATCTCAAAAGCTAGTAGATTTCTTCTTCGAGAAAGTTTCTCCACAAACCAGATCTCGATTCAAAACTCGTGGGGTTCTAGACTCTTCGGAATTCGATTGAAGGTTTGATTTTTTTTGGGTAATCGATAATTATATGGATTTAGGGTTTCAAATGTTAATTATTTTGGATTTTTGACCGATTTTGGGAATTTTTACAGAAATTTATCGGCAGCTCAAGATCTTACTCAGAAGCTGAGGTATGTATAATTTTAGGGTTTTTTTTTGAGAAAGGGGTTTCGATGTTCCTGTTCACTAATTAAGGCTTTTCAGACAGGTTTCACGGACAGATTTTGGTGGTGGCTTCAAGCTGAGGTATTTGTAATTTCATAGACAAATTGTAGTGTTAAGTGATTTAGATTTGTCTGACTTTAATCGATTTTGCTTTCTTTTGCAGATTATCTTTTACAAGATATTTGCAACCTAAAGGTACTTTGCAGATAACCCTTCTCATTCTCTAGTATGTGTCTCTAAAGTCTTAGTGTATTGGGGTTTATGTTCATTATCACACATGTTTGATACCCTTTGAGCTTGGAGCTGTGGTGGTGCTGTGACATGGATAAGTCTTGGGTTTGGCTTCCAAGGTATGGATTTATATGTAATTATTGTTAACTCTGTTACTTACAACTGAGTTTCTTATGATTGAATTTTCAAATGTTTTCTGCTTTATAGGACTAGCCTTGAGTATGAGAAAGGAGCAACAGATTTTGTTTATGGGTCAACAAAGAGGTTGGGCAATCCCGCAAAGCTGTTTTGTCCATGTATCCAATGCCGAAATCTGGAACACCAATCAGTAGCCACAGTCTTGGATCATCTGGTTATTAAAGGAATGGATCAGAAGTACAAGAGAAATAAATGTTGGAGTAAGCATGGGGAGATAAGGGAATTGAAGACGGGTGATGAACAGACTTCTGAATTTGAAGCTTATGAGTTGTTTAGAGATACTTTCTTCGATGGTGATGACAATTTACAGCCCCAGAGTGACAGAACAGATCAGCGTGATGATATTGAAGAAGAAGAGAAAGATTTTATGAAGAAGTTGGAAGATGCTGAATCTCCTCTCTACAACACATGTCCTAACTACACCAAAGTGTCTGCTGTCATGGGGCTTTACATAATAAAAGTAAAGAGCGGAATGTAAGAGAACTATTTTGATCAGTTTCTGAAGATAGTTCACGACATGCTACCGGAAGATAACGTACTTTTAACATCAACAGAGGCGATGAAGAACTACTTGAAGATATTCGGGTTTGGCTATGAAAAAATTCATGCATGCAAGAATGACTGCATCTTATACCGGAAGCAGTATAAAGATTTGACAAGCTGCCCTCGATGTAAAGCCTCTAGATGGGAAGTGGACAAGCACACGAAACAGGAAAAAAATGGGATTCCTGCTAAGGTTCTTATATACTTCCCGATAAAGGACAGATTCAGAAGGATGTATAGATCAACAAGGATGGCCGAGGATCTGTGTTGGCATTTCAGTAATGCTTCAGAAGATGGAATGATGCGGCACCCAGTGGACTCAATAACTTGGTCTCAAGTTAATGCTAAATGGCCAGAGTTTGCGTCTGACCCGAGAAATCTTCGACTTGGTCTATCTACTGATGGGATGAACCCATTTTCAAACCAGAGCACAAAGTACAGTACATGGCCAGTCCTGCTAGTTAACTACAACATACCACCTACATTGTGTATGAAAGCAGAGAATGTAATGCTCACTATGTTGATCCCTGGACCAACAGCACCGAGCAACAACATCGACGTGTATCTTCAACCATTGATAGAAGATCTACAGGATTTATGGAGTGAAGGTATGGAGGTTTATGACTCATTTTCCAAGGAAAAATTTAATCTCAGAGCTATGTTGATGTGGACTATCAGTGATTATCCTGGTTTGGGGACGTTGGCAGGCTGTAAAGTCAAAGGTAAACAAGCATGTAATGTTTGTGGCAAGGATACACCTTTTAGGTGGCTGAAGTTTAGTAGAAAACATGTCTACATGTGTAATAGAAGAAGACTCAGACCAGGTCATCCTTACAGACGCAGACGGAGTTGGTTTGATAACACTTTAGAAGAAGGGACACGACCGAGAATTCAATCAGGGGCTGAGATATTTGAGCAGCTGAAAGACTTTAGAAATGATTTTGGTCGACCTTTAGATAAGAAAGGAAAAAGAAAGAGATCTGGTTTGGTCGAGGGTGAAGAGCTTTCAGAAGAGGAATGTGATGAAGAAAGTGATCGATGGAGGTGGAAGAAGCGGTCTATTTTCTTTGATCTACCTTACTGGAAGGTTAGAATATTCTCTACTCTTTCTTTTTAAATTTTTTTAACTCATTGTCTAACTTAGTTTATTGTTTTGATGTCTTAGGATCTGCCTGTACGTCACAACATCGATGTAATGCACGTTGAGAAGAACGTGTCTGATGCCATATTGTCCCTCCTCATGCAAAGTGCTAAATCTAAAGATGGCTTGAAGGCACGCCATGATTTGGAAGATATTGGGATTCGGAAAAACTTACACGCGCAAGTACGTGGGAAGAGAAACTACCACCTGCTGCTTATTGGCTGTCCAAGACCGAGAAAAAGAAGTTCTGCAAGAGATTGTCTGAGTTCAGAGGACCGGATGGCTACTGTGCGAATATCGCCAACAGTGTTTCAGTTGATCCTCCACCTGTTGGTGGCTTAAAGTTGCATGATCACCATGTTTTGCTACAAAACCTGTTACCTATGGCTCTGAGAGGAATGCTGCCAACTGGGCCTCGGATTGCAGTGAATAGAATATGCAACTTCTTCAATCAGTTATGTCAGCGTGTGATTGATCCAGAGAAGCTTGTAGCTTTGGAGAATGAGGTTGTCGAGACATTGTGCCAATTGGAGAGGTTTTTTCCTCCAACCTTGTTTGATATCATGTTACACCTTCCTGTTCATCTAGCAAGGGAGACACGTTTAGGTGGTCCGGTCCACTTTTAGATGGATGTATCCTTTTGAGAGGTACTGATTTTTGCTTATTTAACTCTTTTTATGGGGTCAAATGCAAGCTGATTTGGCCTAATATGGTATCTGTTTGAGATGTAGGTATATGAAGACACTCAAATCATTTGTTAAAAACTATGCTAGGCCAGAAGCATGTATGGCTGAGGGATACATGGCAGGAGAATGCATGGCCTTCTGTTTGGAGTTTCTTAAGACATCTGTACCAGCATGCAAAAATGTAAACCGTAATGAAGATCTTGAACCATCTGAAGACATCCTTGAAGGTCGTCCATTTCACAAGGCTAAAGCAGTTACACTTACTGAGAAAGATCGGGAGATAGCACATCGATATGTTCTGATGAACATAGAAATGTTCACTCCATATGTTGAGTAAGTATAACCACATTTAGTAATTTTCTGCAAGTTGTATCCATGTTTGACGTTTGGACATTAAATGTAGTATGCACTTGGAAGAATTACAAGATAAAGATGTGCGGTGCAGAAGAAATGAAACTTACTTGTGGAAATTTCATGGGGAAAGGTTTACCCATACAAATGGAAGAGCCGTGAGACCAGAGTTTGAACAAACAATTGTAAGAAGTTATCAAATCTTGTTCCATTATACTTGATTATCTATATTGATCTACTCATAAAAATTTGATATCGATCAGGAAAAAATTAAAACAATTGATAGTGAGATGGGCTCAAACTCCACTATTAGTGTTAAAGAAGATGCTGTGAGTCAGGTTCTAGGTAAAGACAAGAATGGAAGAGTCAGAGGAATGGGAAGAGGGATTACAGCTACCAAGCTAGCTTTCATACAGGCTAGGGATGCACATGTGCAGAAGCTTGAAGCTAAGCAAGCAGCATTGGTGACTGAGATTGAAGATTTGAAAGACTTGGTTCGTGACTTAGCTAAAGGGAAAAGTGTAAGTGTAAGTCAATAAGGTAATGTATTTATAATATCCTCTCTCAGCCGAATATTAATTGTTTTCTATGTTCTCAGAAAGATCAGGATGATCTTTCACAATCCGGAAACACTGGTACAACCAAAGGATCACTTAGGTGTCAGCTACTTGATTGGTATTCCGAAGATGATGTTGTTGTCGGTGAAGGAGATCTATGCTCTGTTGAACCACTTTACAAGATTGGTCGTATTCCACTTGGACCTAATGCAGCAGCTGTACTTGTTAACTTAGTAGTTGATAAAAAAGCATATGTATGGAGGCCTACAACAGCTATCACCTTACTTGGAGACGCTGTGGGAACCAAAATTGCATGGCCATTTGATAAGCTCATTCTCGACAGTATGGACTCCCCAACTGTAAACAAGAATGCTGGTTCCTCGGTAAGATTACTAGTCATTTATTCAGTGTATTAAAAAATTATATCATTAGAAAGGTTATTTACTTGGTGATCCGTATATTGTGTTTTTGAATGACTACTTAGGCTACAAATGCATTGGAAGATAGAATCCAAATTATTTCTTGGACTAATGATGCTGAAGTGATTGCTGAGGGATATATGGTTTCGGCTGACCCAACAGAGATGGTCAATAATATTCATTTGGGTCCGAATGCTGTAAAGGTTAAGATTGACAAGGTGATTAACATAGAGGCTTACCTGTGGAGACCAAGTGAAGACATGAAAGTGATTGGGGATGCACTGTTTGCGTACATAGCATGGCCAGTTTCTAAGGTTGTACTATGTGAAGGAGCAAGACCATCTAAAGATTCATCATCTAAGGTACCATCAGTTGCTAAAGGAGCAGTACCATCTAAAGATTCATCTTCTAAAAATTCATCGCCTAAGGTAAAACTCTACATATAATTATCTAACTTTCACATTCATTTATTGTTTTCTTAAAATGATGATCTGTATAATGTTTTCACTTGTAGAGTGTAGCTAACCGCTCAAACACAAGTCACTCTCCTAAGAAGAACTGCTTACTCTTAGACTGCTTTGGATCAGGTCAAACGGTTGCAGAAGGAAAAGTTCTATCAGACAATCCAGAAGACAAAGTCCATTGTGTTCCATTGGGTCCAAACGCCAGCAAGGTATGGGTTGAGGTATGTAAGATTGATGACGCCCGTGTATGGAGACCAACCTCAGAATTCCAGATTGTTGCTGATGCATTAGGTTCTACAATCGCTTGGCCTAATGACAAGATTGTTTATAAGTGAAACAGTGTCTTATATTGGATTGTCTTGGGTAGTAGAACTTGTCTGGCTAGTTGAATATTTTGTTTGTGGTTTGGTTGTGTAAGACTTCATGGTTTGTCTATTAGAACTTATGTATTCGAGACTTAATGTTTGGCTAATTGTCTTTCTCTGTTGATCAAAATATGGCAGAGCTAATATATAAGGACTAATACGTTGATTCCAATTATACAACAAAACCCAGCTAAAACTACAGAAACAACAACAAAAGAGAAATCACTATATTAAATACTAACACTCACATCAAAATAGTGCTATGTTTATAACACCAATAGCAAATATACTATGCTATTATAAATGTTAGAATTGCATAACTAATAAACGCTATCGAAATAATAAAATAAAATAGCATACAGAGAAACGCTATATAAAGTGCCTGAGAAAAGATTGCAGGGGCAGACACAGCGTTCACCATAACGCTATGCTATCCTGCAATAGCGTTTTTCCGAAGCTATATATGTCACATTTTCTTGTAGTGGTTCTTTTCTTCTCTGCATTACATTTAGTCTGCATCTAAAATAATAACCACTTTGTGAAAGAAAAAAACACATCAAAACTAAAAGTGACGGTCGTCGCCACCTGATAATCAATAAGCTATTGGATAAAAGATCTATCACGAGCCAAACAGTAGAATCTAACCTGGGTCTGTAATAAATTTTCAAAATCTGTTACCGAAAATGAACGTTAGTGAATCTCACTAGTGAATCTCTATGTAAAAAAAAGCATTACCGAAAGAGTTGAAGTATGGCTCATTGTTTTACTAACTCAACTTTGAACGAACAATAGAGTTTCAAGACGAATTCAAAAAGGAAGTGAGAGAGAGAGAGAGTAATGTCTCAAAGTGCAAGGCAACCAGTTGAAAAATTAAAACTAAGCAAATTGGGGACCACTGGTGGAAGAAGATGAGATTGTGGAGAGAACCACAATCAGTCATCAAAGCCATTTACGATCAGTGCCTCACCTTACAATCATAATCGCAACATAATGTTATACCACAGCTTATTTTTCTTGAGACCTTGGCAAGATTCAAAAAGATGTTGTAGTACCTGATCAAGATACTCCTCCTGCATCTTCTCGATTCTCAACATGTCTTCAACATCTGCACTTGGACCATCATACTGAACCAGTCCTGCGTTTCTGTACACATCTTCCATCAAGAACTTCTGTGCGTTTTGTCTCAGTAGCCTGCAAAATCAAACAATGGATACACCCCATCACTTCACTTTATTCATTTCAAGGATGTTTCTGTATACGAGAGAGGTTTAACAACTTACTTGTACGCTTTGCCTTTCAAGTCCACCGTGGCTGGGTGAATTACTGGTCTGCCTATTGAGGTTGAACCAGAACTTTGGGACCAGCGTTTAACCGTCATCATTGCCTAAAGGTTGGCGAGTGAAAGAGAGTAGGTAAGCAAACACTGAATGAAACTTGGAGTAAGTAAAAAAAAAGAAAATATATCAAAAAAAAAATCAACCGTCATAGGTGCAGCACTTTTGTTTACAGGACTCTTTTGCAGGTTGGTCACAGTTGCCATGTAGCCGTTCAAACCAGCTGCAAGGATGTGGTAACATATATCCCCAAGAACCTGCATAGTGTCATCAATTGATAATGTCATATCCAAAAAACACCATTAAATTTGCGATAGCGCTGTATGAAGTTGTCGATCACATACATAGGCATAGTCACAGTTGAATTTTGATGGTAGAGATCTACGAGCTTGGTAACCAAAAAAGTGGCAGATAGCGTTGAACTTCTTCGTTTTGTACCTTCCTTCTTTCTATAATTTTTGAAAGAACAGTTTTAAGAAGAGAGATCTATGTTACATACCCATAAACACCTTGAATGATAAAAGATCAGTAAAATGGGGGTTGTGAGTTGTGAGAAAGAACGTAAGCATAATACCGTGCTCTTGTTCATATTAGTCTCCACGAGATAAGCTAGAAGTTTCTGTGTCTGATCAATCTACGGAAGAAAGCAGCAGATGAGAAATTAGGATTCTAACTTTGTAAAGCACAATAGCCATCATTTTCATTCTACTTACCTGCTGCAAGAGAAACAACAATTTCGTAAGTACTAAACATGTGAAGAAAACAAAGAGAGTCCCAAGCCAAATAAATGGAACATGTTTCTTAATGAATGGAGGCAAGAACTCAAACGATGCAGATGACCAAGGTGACAGCTGGGTAGAAATATTATCAGCATGCCCACCCTCCTTTAGCAGTCCATGAATTTCCTGCATCGCAACATGTAAAATACTTACTAAGTTTTGGTACTAAGGAAACCAGAAAATTAGCTTGTCAAATTACATTCAACAGAGCATGGAGTTCAGGAATACTCTCTACGATCCCTTCAGGAAATAGGATGACTCCATGATTTTTGTCTGGACCAAAGAAACAGTTTGCACTGAAGTTAGTGAACGAGCAAAACACATCAGAGCAATACACATCACTGCCAATACTGAACAAACTAGTTCTATTGAGACCTTGCACTGCTCTTGCTTGCACTGCATCACAGATTTGCTTTGTGATGTCAAATATCGTGAGTTTAGATGCTGTAACCTCCTCACCCAGTATCACCTGAGACAATCACATCACATGCATTTGAGAAGCGAGACACTTGTCTGACGATTGGGAAAGCGTGCATAAACACGCAGACACAAACACAGACCGTTGCAACCCCAAGCATTGAATGGGTGATCGGAGTTGGAAACAGAAGATGTGAACCCAACGCCTTCTGATACTTCAGAGGTATTTGACCATTTCTCCTATCTGCAAGTTTACGAGCAACCAAGATGTTGTAACTGTGGTTGTTCCTCATTGCAGCATAGCTAAATGAAGTTTTTCCACTTGCATCCATTAGGGTATTCCAGGATGACAATCCAATCTGAAACCAGAAACAAAGTGAGGAACTCTCAATAGAAGAGAGAACAAGAAGGGTAAAACATTGAGTCTAAAATCATAAACTTTACCTTTTGTGGATCATTAGTGAGGACATCGATGATATCAACTGAGCCACATGTTAAAGCAGCCAAATGCAAAGGTGTGATATCACCAGATCCCTTGATGCTAGGCAAGAAGATAAAATTTTGAGCAGCGGGGTTAACAGAATAGTGAATCAGAGTTTCAGCCATTTTTGTGTTCTTTTTAACAGCGCGATTCAACAGCCGGATCTCAGCCAGCATATCTAAGACTTCTTTGTTCATCAGACCATCGCTTCCCAAATTTATCTCTACCATCATATCCAGGAGAGCTCTTACAAGAAAACAATAACCTCTTTCAACCGAAGAAACGAGCAGAAATTTGAAGCGAGGGAGAGAAAAGTGGGATTCTCCATGAATGTCAGATGCCAACTTCTTCCGAAATAGCCAACCGAGCTCGTTCAAGAAGCAAAGTACTTCCTCTCTTGAACTAGGACAATCTGAGTTGTATGCCTGCTCTTCTGTCATGTCTTTTGGATGAAACTCGTCTTCAAATCAATTTAACTCTTTACAAATTGTGGCACTAGCAATTATTAACGGGAAACTGTCGCTTCTTAATCCATACTCCACCTGTACTGGACACAATAGGAAAAGTTAAACTAACATCTTTCTAAAACCTTGATTACTAAGAAACTATAAGTTTGGTTATATCGAAGTTTTACCTCAACAAAACAGCTCCCCAGATAACCAAGGCATGGACCCTTAACTTTGAATCTATATACAGTTAGCTCATCAAATGTAGTGCTCCTACTCACTGTTTCAGTTACCTCCATTGACATATACTTACCCATATATGTGCAAAGAAAACTGCATCATAATGACCTTAAAGATTATAAAAGAAATAAGTTCAAGAAAGATGAGAAAAATGATTACAATTATTTACCTAGTTCCACCATTATTCAAGCTTTTACCCCTTACTACCAAAGTAGTTTCTTCAACGGATACAACAGCTACAGGTGACACCGTTATCATCTCCAGTGAACTCAAAGTTCTCAAAGATTTACCCAGACGAATTCTACCTGTAACATTGCACAGACATGACTAAGTTATTATCTTGTAGACTATACGCATCAACGGCACAGAAGCAGGCAGCTCATGAGCGTTCACCATGTTTGTATGACGCGAGTCGCCTGCCTGTGTTGACCAAAAAATTTGTGTTGCTCCAAAACTCTGAATCTTGAACCAAAGACCTAACCCGATGCAGCAATATTTTCTCAAACTGAAAAAAAAAACAATTTCATCAGCTTCTGCGGATCCCCACAGAGAATTTACATAGTATTCACTCATGTGGGAACCGAAATCCACCTACTGTCAATAAATCGTATAAAAAGGAAACTTCGGGAAAACCCTAAGTTTCCAGAGGAACCGGCTATCTGCAGAACCGCACAACGAAGATTAAGATAACAAGAAACTTAGAAACTTTAAATGAATAAACGAAAATCGAGAGCAAAGAGGTTTTTATTCCGAATCTGCGTAGAACTGGTACAAAGAGAGTAGCCGAAAACTTAAGGACGAAAAACCCTAATTGAGACGCAGCTCGCTAATAGAAAACAAAAATATTCTTAAATGCTAATTTTGGTGGTGAGAGCTCTGAAAATCCTGTCCCTTGCTTCTTCCCTAGAACTCTTATTTATATACTCCTCGCCTTGGCCATTCGGTTTTTCCATTTCGCCCAGATTTGACTATACCGGGAATTTTCCATTTTTCTCGATCCTTCCTTTTCTTCCGCGGAAATCTTCTATTTTTCTTCAAACCTTCCTTTTATCCTCAAACTTGACATTTATTTTCCTTCTGCGAATAAACCGTCAAAACGTCATCGTATCTTTGGGTTAGATTCCGTTAGGATCGCGAGATGGGTTTTTATCGCGTTTTAGGACCTTCTGGGCCGTTCTGCGATAAATCCGTTTTCCGACTTTGTACGAGATCATTTCCTGATCTGATGCCGTTTTTAGTAAATTCCTCGAGCTAATCGTAAGGTTTTACGATTTACTCGACGTTTTTATTAAAAACGCGTTTTTTACGATTTACTCGACGTTTTTATTAAAAACGCGTTTTTATGATTTCAACGAGAAATCTCGAATAAATCGTATAGTTTAGGCAATGTTCGGTGTTTCGTTTAACCGTTGTCGTTTTATACGATTTCCTTGAGTTCTTTGTCGAGAAAGCGAAGTTTTATGGTTTTTATCGTAAAACTCGAACGATAGGTCGGATCGAGATGGAACGGGAGACGTTTCGGCCGTGGTTCAGAATGCGACCGTGTCGAAAGACGTAAGTTTCGAATCGGGGATGCGGGAGATCGAGGCTCGGGACGTCCAGGAAGTCCCTAGTTCGTTCAACGGCGAACTAAGCCGAGCCGAAACGTCTCCCGTTCCATCTCGATCCGACCTATCGTTCGAGTTTTACGATAAAAACTGTAAAACTTCGCTTTCTCGACAAAGAACTCAAGGAAATCGTATAAAACGGCAACGGTTAAACGAAACACCGAAAATTGCCTAAACTATACGATTTATTAGAGATTTCTCGTTGAAATCATAAAAAACGCGTTTTAAATAAAAACGTCGAGTAAATCGTAAAAAACGCGTTTTTAATAAAAACGTCGGGTAAATCGTAAAACCTTACGATTAGCTCGAGGAATTTACTAAAAACGGCATCAGATCAGGAAACGATCCCGTACAAAGTTGGAAAACGGATTTATCGCAGAACGGCCCAGAAGGTCCTAAAACGTGATAAAAACCCATCTCGCGATCTTAACGGAATCTAACCCGAAGATATGATGACGTTTTGACGATTTACTCGCAGAAGGAAAATAAATTTCAAGTTTGAAGATAAAAGGAAGGTTTGAAGAAAAATAGAAGATATCCGCGGAAGAAAAGGAAAGATCGAGAAAAATGGAAAATTCCCGATATAGTCAAATCTGGGCGAAATGGAAAGACTGAATGGCCAAGGCGAGGAGTATATAAATAAGAGGTCTAGGGCAGAAGCAAGGGACACGATTTTCAGAGCGCTCACCACCAAAATTAGAATTTAGGAATATTTATGTTTTCTGTTAGCGAGCTGCGTCTCAATTAGGGTTTTTCGTCCTTAAGTTTTCGGCTACTCTCTTTGTACCAGTTCTACGCAGATTCGGAATAAGAACCTCTTTGCTCTCGATTTTCGTTTATTCATTTAAAGTTTCTAAGTTTCTTGTTATCTTAATCTTCGTTGTGCGGTTCTGCAGATAGCCGGTTTCTCTGGAAACTTAGGGTTTTCCCAAAGTTTCTTTTTTTACGATTTATTGACAGTAGGTGGATTTCGGTTCCCACATTTTGGCGCTAGAAGGAGGGGGGTCGGATCTATCTTACACCGAAGCCGCAACATGTCCAACGAAGAAACGATGACGGGTGAAACCAAACTCGCGACAAACGCGATAACGTTGAAACAACACCACCACAAGGTGCGTCAGCAGCCAACGCTAACGCCGAGACCCTCGAGAAGATGCTTTCCGAGTTTAACAAAAAATCGGAAGAGAAGGAAAACCTCATCGGTTCGCTCGCGAAACGGGTAGAAACCCTAACCGCGAAAACCTGAGCAATTCACCCCCGCGGAACTACTAAGATCCGCGGAAGAAGGCTTGACTTTGGCGCTCCTACGGATCGTCCCAGAACCGAGCAGGGTAACTTACCAGAAAAGGATTCCGGAAAAGACAATCCTGATGCGAAGCTGAACGAATCGGAGAAACCTCCTACTCACGAACAGGAGACCGAGGGTGACGGCATCGAAAGGGTTAACCTGGAGACAAGTGACCAGGCCGATTCGACAGACGAAGACGCTGACGTCCATCCTAGGAGAAGAAAGACTCGAAGTCCCCTGCCGGAGTCTTCTCCTGAACGTTCTTTTACTGGAGACGAAGGGGAACTCGACTTCGCGCGATACGCAAAAACCGCCGAGGAGCGATCTCCGGTCACTCGCAGCAAACGCAGACAAGGTCGGAAAACTGCTGGCGGTCTGACCGAGATTCGCGATCTCCGCAAATATATCACCAAAACGGCCGCAGCGGTAAAAGCGGTGAAATCTCAGATTCACCACGCTACCAGCGCCGCATCCGAGATTAATCGGCTATTGTACGAGTCTCGGAAAACGCCCTTCACGACCCTCGTCACCGAGATCAAACTGCCCGATCCCGGAAAACTTAAGGTGCCGACTTACGACGGGACGTCCGATCCCAAAGCACACCTACAAGCGTTCCAGATTACCATGGGACGAGCCAAGCTCAAGGACCACGAAAAAGACGCAGGCTACTGCCGCCTCTTCGTCGAAAACCTAGAAGGAACCGCGCTCGAATGGTTCGCCAAACTTATGCGAAATTCGATCGGAAGTTTCCGTCGACTGGCTTCAGAATTCCTGAAGCAGTACTCAATGTTCATTAACCCGGAAACCTCCGACGCCGATCTCTGGAGCTTGGTGCAGAAGGAGGTCGAATCTCTCCGCGATTTCATGAGCAGATTCAAACTCGTCATGGCTAGGATTAGCGGAATCAGCGACAAAGCCGCCATTGACGCATTAAGGAAATCGCTCTGGCATAAATCGAAGTTCCGCAAGTGGATAACTCTTGAGAAACCGCGGACGATCCAGGATGCGCTCCATAAAGCCACTGACTTCATAACCATCGAAGAAGAGACTAAAATCATGTCCGAGAAACATAAGCGGACGAAAACATCCGCGAAGGATAACGCGTCCGAGCAGAAGCAGAAAAAGAGGAACTCTCGTAACGAAACATTCGTCCATCACGAGGGACAGGATCTCCAAGGGGCGCATAACTACGTCATTAACTCCGGTTCGGAGCAAGGGCGAACTACGGGTAACACGTGGACGAGAAATTTGCATTACGACGAGAATTCTTTCTGCGACCTCCACCAAACCCTCGGACATTATACAGTGAATTGCAAAGTTCTCGGCGCCAGACTTGCCGCAAAATTGGTCGCAGGAGAACTTTCTGAGATATCTAGTGTCAAGGATCTCATCCGCGATTCGGATCGCCTTCCGAAGAACGACAGGAACACGCGAGCAGAAACTCCACCCCAGGGAAACCAGTCGGGCGAAAAGCGCGGACAAAGACAAGACGAGAAGAGTAACGACGCTAACCGCCGAAAAATCAACATGATCATCGGCGAATCGCAATATTACAACGACACCGTCTCTTCCATAAAATCCTACCAACGCAAAGCCGAAACCGGCTCGAGTTGGAAGGTGCCGAAGGATGACTCTCCGAAAGGAGTGATCTCATTCGACGACGCTGAAACCAGCGGATGACTCTTGTCATCGACTTAGTAATAAGCGATTTAGAAGTCGCTCGGATCTTGGTCGATACCGGGAGTACTGTCAACGTGATCTTCCGCAACACGCTAGCACGTATGGGAATCGATCTCTCGGAAGTCGAGCCGATTCCACAACCGCTGACTAGTTTCTCCGGCAAACATCGATGACCCTGGGAGCAATCCGATTACCGGTCGCCGCAAAAGAAGTGACGAAAATCGTTAACTTCGTGGTAGTTGATTTCCCGGCTATCTACAACGTGATCATGGGAACGCCTTGGATAAATTCCATGAAAGCGGTTTTGTCCACGTATCACTTAGGCATCAAATTCCCGACGCCTACGGGAGTCGCAGTAATTTGGGGATGCCAAAGACAATCGCGATCTTGCTTCCTGGCCGAACATAAGCTGAGGCAATTGGCGGTCGCGATCGTGAAACCAAACGGGCAAAGGTCACGCCACCGCCCGCAGAAGACGACCCAAAGCAAGCAACGGCCGAGAAACCAGAAGTTTCCACACCCATCGCTTCCATCCGACTGGAGGAGACAATCCCGGACAAAGACATCGATCCCGCAACTGAAGCGATCGAGAAGTCCGCGACAGCCGAGTAAGCACACTCGCGCAAACAATCAGAACTACGAGATGGCTTGATTTCCGAAAGGAATTCGTAGGCAGCTCGCCTAAAGACGAGTTCAACTATCCCCCCTTCCAAAACGGGGGGGGGGGGGGGGAGTGGGTGAGTATACGAGTATTCGCATACTCCCAATTTTTTTTACAAAATTTCTTTTAGCTTTGTAATCAAAAAAATTTCGAAATTTTTAATAAAGACAAAGTTAGAATATCTCCGCTACTATCAGAAAACGCAAATCCAGAAAATCGCTTCCGCAGTAACAACTATTTAATCGTTTTTCTAAAAAACTAGCATATCAAAATATTTTCGGAAAGAACTGGCGAGACGTCGCCTAAACTCTCAAGAAAAATATTTTCCCAAGTCCGTCCGCGACTATAAAAATACGAACGCTCGGCGATTGGCCCCATCGAGCACACTAGCCATCCTAAACAAACGCACCGACCTATCGGTCCGCATACATCCGACGAGGATAAAATAGCGCGCTATAAAAGAAATCCAAATTTTTGGTCAGCACTTCCAGGCAACTTAGAAATTGTTCCCGGTGAGATGCTCGATTCCAACCATACGAATCGTATAAGCCGAGAACCTATCGCGGATTCTAAATCGGTATGGAGTCAGGATAAAATCGCAACGGGCAAAATGAAAGCCGACCAGTCATCGCACAGCCCCAATCCGAAAGTAAACCTAGGTCTTGCCCTAAACCCAGCACACTGGTCGCTAACGTCTCAAGGCATGAATCGAGATCCTAAAGGCATGTCTCTTCGCCCACATCTAAACACTCGCGAAAATCGAAATCTCCCGAGTTAACGAATCGGACGATTTACACCAAAGAGTTAGATACGAGATGACAA